TATGTCTCTTTCTTCAATATCTAAGAAAGGTTTTTTCATTGCGAAGACTAATTATATTGAAACCCTATCTCCAAGTAGCAATGAGCCTGGATAAGCATTTTTAAAATTGAATTATTTGAATGGGAATGTAATTAAAACTAGTTATACTCCAACGTAATATCATTAAGAGATGCAATAATCAATATTCTTAGATTAAAATGACAATATATTAACAATAATTTGCACAAAAGTATCAGAATTATATCGCTAGTTTGTAGTGAAAATTAATGCTGATATGCAAACTGTTGCCTGGTCTAAAAAATCAGAATAATATCAATAATAATTAAGATCAATTCTTCTACTGCCTGATTAACTCAATCTAATTATATCAGGAAGCATAATCTATGAGCCTATTTATTAAATTGGAATTTAGTTTATGAAAGTATCTCTATAGGATGGAAAAAGGATATGGGAGCGTTACTTTTTGATTACTGCACCAATAGTAGATTTTTACATCGAAAATTTTGAATACTAGCCAACTTAAAGCCTTTTCTATGGTTGTCTAAACTCCGTTGAAAATCGAAATACTTTTGGATATTTTGTTTATAACGATTAAAATACTTAATATAGCGGCAGATATATCTAGCATGATCTTGATAACTTAAATTCAAATTCTTAAGAATATCAATGTCTATTTGTTGTAATTAATTTTATTATTAACATGATTTATAGGAATATGTAGAGAATTGGTTGTATATTTATGTTAGAGAGACAATTTTGTCAAGTCCAAAAGATTTGGTTTTATCTTAACATAGGATTAGAATTTTGATGATAAACAATTTAAATTTCTTTACCTCAGACTCATCAATCACTATCTCATTTTTATTAGCAAGTAAATAACAGGACTCATCCTTTTAGATCTATTTCAAATAATTGGTGAGATAATCAGTTGCCGGCAAAAGCCATTTAATTGTTGGTTAAGCTTATTCCTATAGTAGCGGATTTTGGTATGGTATAATCTATAGAAGTGCTCCGAATATAGGTTGCTTTTCATTTAATGATTTGACTGATATGACTTTAGATTCAAATACGCCTACCGATGTATTCAATACTTTGAATTTAAATATTGTCTATGAAACTATTGATTCTTCGCTCAACTAGATAATAAGTTATAAAACAGATTTACCAGTTAAAATTTCAGATTTTAGGAATTACTAAAAAGTATATCAAAATGATCAATAGAATTGCAAACTCTAAGCTGGATTTCCTGGTATATGATTGGAAAATTCTTAGAATTTAAAATTACATTAACAATGTCTAATAGGGTTTCCGTGTATTTTAGAAATCGGCATATACAAAATGACAGGCTGCTAAGATGTTAATGAATTTACTTTAAAAATCACAGATTAAAATATGGATCTTCTCCAAATTACTAGAGAAGTTGTATTAAATTTAAACCAACAGATAAGATTTAATATTACTTTACAAGAATCTATGCCTTAGTACCCAAATGTAAAGATTCATAGAGGTAATCATTTAGTTTCTTTTGATGCAATGATTATATTTCCTAACAAGTTTGTTTACTCCCATGACTATAAAGTAATAAATGTAGACGTAGATTTTTGTTATAACCGATTAAAATTCTTAAATCAACCTACTCTAAAGGATATGATCTATGTAATAGGTTAGGATCCAATAGAATAAAAGATTGAAAAACATATATTTACTCCTGAAAATTGCAAATAAATCAAATATCAAATGGAAATCTAAGGGGGATTTAAAATTCCAAATTGCATATATCTTGATTAGTAATCCCTTTCAATTAGAATTCATTGTATGAACTAAATTCTAGGTGGTTAAGAATTAATTATGAAAGTGTAAGGAATTATAAGCCATGAAAATTAATCATATCAGGCGAATCCTGTAATGTACTTTCAAATTATCTTAATTTCAGATAAATTCATTAAGAATACCACAGCACCTATGTTTGTTGAATCGATAAAAGATTAGATATTGATAGAAGGTGAAGTATTTACTCTATAGTTTCCGGAAATTCTAGATATTGATAATAGTGGTTACGAAATCGAGAATAAATTAGGTATTTGCTAGTTATTTACTAAAGTTAAAAAAGACTCACTTGAATTCGAACCAGAATTAGGTTTTACAGGGACCTTCGAAATATCTGTAATTTTAAAAGACAAGAAAAATTCATATGCTATGAGTAAATATACTTTCAAGGTAAATGTGATTCCAAATTAAGATTAAAATGAAACAGAGATCAAAAGAATCTAATCTATAAAGCAATATGCAAAGAGCTACCTTAAAGCTAAAATCAAAAGAGTGACCAATATTGGATAAGTTTATATAGCATTTAACTGAAAGATGTTAATTAACAAAAATGCTAATAACTAATTGAATGAATCTTTAGAAGTAAATAATATCTCATTAACTTTTCTAGATATCGATTCTCACTCAAACTTAAGAAATCAAAGTTAATTGTACAGTTGAATTTTTTAAAGATTAGACATTGATGGTTTAAATATTCTTTACCTCTGATCCTTCTATCCTCTCTCAATAATAAGTATATAATTCTATTTCTATAATCTTTATTTTTAGGAGTTTGACTTTGTTAAAGTAGTATTTTTGAAGGATTTTTAGTTTATATCATCTGATAAACTTTTTATAATACCTGAATTGTATGAAATTAAAGGAACTCTTCCACCTTAAGTTAGTTTGGGTATTTTTAACATTAGTAATAATTTTACAGAATTCATTGGAATAAATAATGCAATTGGCGCTAGTATCCAATACACTATGACTACAGTATTTGGTACTAATTTGCTTCTCAATCTTTTCTTGTAAGGTTATTGTTTACAATAAACTATGATTCTAGGAGTTAGTCAATGCAATTATTATGGGGTATGATTAATAGTTTCTAATTGATTACTCATCTGCCCTTATTATCAATAATAATCCCTGCCAATACTCTATACTTTTTTGGATTTATAAATGATATTGCCAGCTTCAATTTGATTCCTACAGATAATCTCAATAAACTAATTTTTGAATTTGACGAGTTTAAAGATTATGTTCCATTAAATCCTTACTTTTAATTCATGAATTATGAGTCCGAGAATGTGATTTTAAGTCTAGGATTAATTTATTATATATTTGTTTGCTATTGTATAGCTTTTATTTTAGCAAAAGCATCTAAATTGGTCAACATTCCTAAACATTAAAAGTTAGCCTTTTATTTGATTAATATATTTAGGATTAAAAAGTTGATTTCAAAATTTTAGAAAGTAATGCTTTATAATTCCCTTCTAAGATTTTTCTATGAATCTTCTATAGAAATTAACATATGTGCTCTTATGAACTTGTATTAGTTAGACATTGAAAATACAGGGCAGATAGCGGGATCATGTATGTCAATAATTTTCATTATTATTATGCTGGGACTTCCTATATTTGCTGTATATATAATAAACAAGAATGTTTCTAATTTAAACAGCACTACTTTTATTGATAAATATGGAGTTTTAGTTGAAAAAGTTAAGATTGATTAAGGATGTACATTAGTTTATTATCATTGCTTTTGTATTTTAAAAAGAATCATCTATTCATTGATAATCATTATATTTTAAGAATATTAAAGCTTACAAATTTTGTTACTGATTTTTCTTACCCTCTCCATAACAATTTATTTGATAATTTTAAGACCACTTTCAACTCGATAAGCAAATAGTTTGGAAATTATTAATGAGATTTGGGTTCTATTAATTCTTTACTGTTTTATCCCATTTACTAATTAATATAAAATTCAATTAGATGTTAAGATTTTTATTGGATACTTTCCTATTATCCTTACAGTGACTCATTTAGTTTTTAATATTTTCAATATCATCAGATAATTTTGGAGAAGATGGGCAAAATAAAAATCATTAGATATTAGAAATATTAAAAAAACATTAATTCCTACTAAAAAACTTAAATTTTGGACTGGAAGAAAAAAACTTAAGCAAAAAAAGTAAAAAAAATATAATACTTAACAAATGAACTAAGAATCAATCCAAAACAGTGATTCTTATAATATTGAAAATATGTACAGGCTTTAGCAGAGCCAAAATATTTATTTAACTAAAAAGTAAAGAGAGCAGATCGTAGACTAAATCGATTAATATGAAAGTTATAATATAGAGGAAATTAAAATTAAAAACTAAAGAGATTCACTTTAAAATACGTTTAACACAAGAAATTCTTTGATATTTATAAAGGAATATAGATATTGAGTGAAATAATGTATATATTTGTTTTAGATTATTATTCAATTGATTACTTAAATATTGAATTGTAATATTACTAGTTGGGGTTTTGGGGTTTTGGGGTTTTGGGG